AGTGTGCTCATTACTGTTTTTACGCTGCATCACACTTCATCTGCCTTGGTTACGTCAAAAATGTCTGCTCTTTTGACAACAATGCTATTTGGCTAGTTCCTATTTTTCCAAATGCAGGCTAGCTAACATTTCGGTCTTTCTACTGATTACATATTACATTATCACTTAATTTGTTCGAAAGTCAGGCAAGCGCGGGCGCACTGCACTTTTTTCGTGAATACCACAACACGTCAGTTTTGCCGAATTCCTCCCTTCGAGTTCAATTCGTAATGAGTTCGGTTTTTTGGTTCAACTTTTCTCGATGTTAGAGTTTGAAATTTCATAAAAAGTATAAGAAGTATCAGGTAGCATGAGGTTTTTTGGATCTGAGAGTGGTAAGAGATTATATTTTTGTCAGATTCAGGAGAGCGAGAAGTTTAGAGTGGGAGTAGAAGCTTGGAAGTGGTGGCCAATATTGAGTAGAGTTGAAGTGATGTGCCTGTTATCTGATTTTCGGACTTTATGTAGCCTGGAATTTTCCGAGCATTTTATTTTTATTCCATCCCTACATAATTTCCAAACCTATCTGGATACTGCACATTCTCTCTACCTAATGATGTTCCCTGGTGGATGTTCACTATATTTATCACAGAATCCCTCGTTTTGGAATGTCTGACATTCATGAGTCGTTATCTGAGGGTCTTTATGCGCAGTGTTGCTGTAGCCACTTTCACTGTTTGGATTTCCGTCATGAGGAGCCGCGTTGAGTCAAGTGCATGACTCATTACCTCAATAGCATAGCGCATGACAGCACCTTTTCAACTGTGCGCCTTTAGTGAACTCTGATCAACATCTAATCGATAAGTTGCTCCCAAAGTTTCACAAGGGATTTTCTGTTGACTGCGAAAGTCGAGGACTGGATCACCTTCGTTTTCGATTGTCTCTGTCAACATACACACTGCTTCTCCTTGCCGATTTCTGCGTCTCTATCTGAGCTTCATGCTCACGCTCTGCTCTGACTCTCACGCTCTGTCACTCATAGCTGCGCGCAATCGGAAACTCCCGTGTGACCGCCTATTAGGTGTGCATTATTTTATTCAGGACAGAAGGATGTCCAGTTGGCGTATCGAATAGTTCAGTTGAAAGTGGTTTTTTCTCCATTATAAAATCGTCTTACTCACTTCTTTGTTGCATTTCTTAGATGCGAGAGTGCGAAATTTCCGCTCTCCTATTTATTTCATCTCTTTTACAATGTTAAATTGTCAGGGCTTAGATGAGTCATCAACGCCCATTTTACCTCGTGAACATGTTTGCATTTTGTTGCTGTTTTAACACACTGCTGTTGGCGCTGTTCTCTCGGGATTTCTATCATTTTTCAGCATTTCTTATCGATTTCATGCCTGGTACATTGTAGAGGTGGACTTCGTATTCTGCGAAGCCGCACCTCAGCGCCCAGCGCATACAGGACTACATGGACATTCATTTCATCGATTCTCTTTCCATTTACAAATGATTCTTGAATTCTCAAGAATCTCGTTTGTTCGCCGTTCATTCCTAGTTTTATGGGCTCTAAGTTGTTTTGTGCATGTGACGTCTCAACCAAAGATCGGTCTTATGCATGAATGCCGCGCCTTGCTGGCACAAGAACGCCTACTTTCTGTTTTGAAATTGAACTATTTGGACCGCTCTCCGTTTTCTGAACTAGATCTGCACTCTCAGCGCGTAGCTGTCCCACGCGCAAGCTGTCCACGCGATTGTTTATCGCTTTCTGATTTTTGTTCATAATTTGACATTTATTTTCAGCATTTGATCGTGTGTATGTAACTAAATCAGTTTGTTCAGTTCTCAGGGGGAAGCTTCTGTCATTACTCCATAGCAATCGCTAAATCGGTCACTTATTCTCCACTCTTCTTATCGTTAGCTCAAAATCCTGACGGTCTTGGGAAGGGGAAGGCTGTTCTGGGGCCCCGGGCCTATCGTATCCAGCTAAAAATGTGAATTATGCACTTGGGGAGTGAACTTGGTCTTGTTAGGGCAGTAAGCATGTACAAGAGGCCCTGTTTTGCACTTTTGCGGACTCTTTTCTCGACTATTAAATCAGATCATGCCAGTACTATGGTTAAGCGAGAAGGTGTTGCTTCCTTAACGAGACTATGATTCTTCTAGTTTTATAAATGGCTTGCTGATGCGAGAAACAACGGACACAGAAGTTGAGATTGGAAACAGGGTTGGCTGTACAATGCACAGCGATTCCGTAAACTTTTAGTTTTTCCAGTTTTCCCATTATCGGTGCTATTGCCTCCATCAAGACTGCTGTGATGACTAGATGAAGCCATGACTTGATTAATCCTCCATACTGGTCTACTCAGTGATCCACCTGTCTACAAGGCAGCCGCGATCGTGGGCCTCTTCGTTATGCTCCCCATGCTCCCTCGAACTTCTCTCCCATAGTGTACTCTTTGCTGTCTATATTGTCGTTCCTAATATGACGCTAAACTCAGGAAGGGGATCATTCTCGCGAAAACATTGGTGTTCCACAAAAAATATTCCTTTCCGTTTAGGTGGTTTTTGTGAATTTCCCAGCAAATTTCGTCCGCAAGAGCGATTACGTAATTTCATCATGTCTAAATCTGCAATGTTCCTTGCTCTGATACTTTTTTTTCCTTTTTTGAGAAGGCTAATTGGTGGGTAATAAGTTGTTTCAGTCGATATATCAGGGTCAGGCTAATAAGGAAGTATGATTAGTCATAAGATTTATGTTGAGCACATTGTGTGCTGTTTATCACAATTTTCTTCTTGGTTACTATTTTTGAACCCCTTTGCTGACTCATCTGGCCAGTTTACCGCAGATAATGATATGAGGTTTAAAGCATGGGGTGGGTGGCAGTTTGAGCGAGTTGACATGTTGTGTTTGATTGATGCCACTTCGCCAAGTTGATGTTTTCCTTTTTTATTTTGATTAATACATAATATGTGACCTCACTTGATAGATCTTATCTACTTCATTGAAAATGAGTTTTCAGACTCGTTGAAGTTTGGATTTTTCGAAACTGAGAGCACAAGTGTACTACGCATCACCCATCGCTCTATCCATATTGAAGAGATAATCTCGGCCAGACGCTATTGAAATTCGATTCACTTCTAGGTGAGTGCTTTCTTGTGCAGTTGGCTGTCATTCGTCTGTTTTTTCAATTTGATGTACTATGCAGGCTCGTTGCCATAGTACGCGTCTTTTCTTAGCCGAGATTTGTTGCCGTTCTCATCGTAATGCGGCGAAAACCGCTAGCAGCGATTGACGGCAGGATGTGTTCGTCTGCCGACTTGAATCTGTTGTGTGGTATAAGTCGTAGGGTTGTCCACTAGCTTGCTGTGCCCCAGCGCCCATGCTCTCACTCGCATTGTTTTGCCTATATCCACTATTGAATTTGCATCCGCAAATGCTCCCTTCTGACTTTGTGTGGCAACCTGCGCGCTAGCAGACAAACTGATTCAGCTCTCATACGTAATGGCGCATTTCTTATTATTGAAGTCGCTTTTATATTCCATATGTTAATCTTCTTCGTCCTGGTTTTTGCTTCACGCAACTCCTCGAACCTTTTTCGGAGTCATCGTGAATTGTTTCAATTGGTAATCATTTTGAAAGTTTGCCCTTGCATAATCGATATCGCGGCGAAGTGCTGATTGCAAATGACGGCCATTCTTCAAATTCCACAACAAATGAGTGAATATTTAGCGCATTCGAAAAGAATTACGTGGATACTATTGTTGCGTGGGAAACATTGTTAGTTCTGATTATAAGTTAATGAGAAGGAAATAAGGTGAGAGCAATATGGGTATTGTAGTGATCATTTCGCTTTTTTTCCCTAAGTAGTGAGACGAATAACAGTCACGATGCACATTGGGTTAGCGTGTGTCTCATAGGGCTGCTTTGTGTGCATTCGCTGTTGCGACTTCTGTCATGATACTTTCAACACTTTAGTTCAGAGATCATAAGAGCTCTCACAGGGGCTCCTGTTTTTGCAAACCAGCCTCCTCAAGCACTATTTGAATGAAGCATTCATTAGGATTGAGGTTTCTTACAGAGATTCCTTATCATATAGCCCAGATTTTTCCTGTCCACATTCGTAGAATTTATTCTCTAGGATATCGTAATTGCAAGATATGCTATGATAGAAACTTTCTCAACGCTCTGCAATATCCATATTTTGTTCGTGTCGAATTTATCGGAACCAAGCCTCCAATTCTCACCAAATTATCTCTACTGGCTTTCCTTGTGCTGTCCTTGGTATCCTTCGTCATAGATGTCTTCGTGCCATGAATTCTTTTTTTACAGCCTTCCTTTTCCACCCACTCATTAATGTAATATTAGCGTGTGCTTGCTATGCCCTGCGGACTTCCTCGAAGGCAGAAAGGCTGAATATACTTATCTCGACCAAAATTATGCAGTTTGACGGTGAATTAGCAGCGTGTTTTATTCGAACTAGACCGTGTTTTACAGAGTTGAGGGCGGTCTAGCACAACTCTTGCGGGATAGATTTGTTCTGCTACTCTTCTTTCTTTCTAATTCTATTTATAGTCCATAGTTTAGAAAAACTTCTTTTCAATTTCCTCATTTTGTGGAATTTTTCATTCTAGTTGAATTTCTGCATCTTCATTGGTAGGATTTGCATGATCGCATAAGCGACCATCAATCAGCAATGGTAGTTCTTCCTGTTTTTTTTCTTGTGGTCCCTTTTTATTTGCCCTTTTATTTCGGTTTTCATTCTTTTTTTGTTTTGCCCTAAATTTTTGCTCTCGCATTTACACTGGGTTTCTCAGTTCGTGTTTTTATATTCCATTCCACTACCCGTTTGCCGTTGAGGTTCCGCCCCCACCAAGTCCCGCCTGTTGTTTTTAATGCGAAAGGGCTTCAGTCCAGCGGGTGAGAGGAATCCGAGATTTTCGTTTGGTGAAATCGTGAAATCTTTAGGGGTGCTTCTCCGAAAGATGATCAATCCGCTTTTGGGTCCGCCGTATTTGGCTTGCTTAGGGAAGGGGATAGGATATGCCAAGAGTTCAAAAGTTTAGGAGGGTGATAAAAGGTTCCTATCAAGAGTTAAGATAGCCCTTCTTTGCGCTTGCATGATGAATATTAGCGTGCATGTAAGTGTAAAAGTGTTAATAGATGGTCCACCATTCACATCTGATACACCACTTGATTGCTTTACTTCTTATATTGCAATTAACGTGGCGCTTACCTCTATTCATTGCTTTCTGTATTAATTGAATCTTACCTCAGATGGGGCCGATGAACTTTTCTTACCCTGCTGGTGCTTGGTATACAAGGAACAATACAAAATTAGTTTGGTCACAGACATTGCTCGCATAGCACGCTACGGTTGCTACTTGATAAGTGCGACTATACTTCTGGGTTATACTTGAAGATTCATTTTTTTTTGGGATTTTTATTAAGCTCACAAAAACTAGCTCTGTTCCGTACGAGAAGGTCTGTGAATAGACAGCGGGGTTCGCTTACAAGTGTGTTGTCTGGCTCATCGCTGCTGTTGCTCGTTTCGAGGCGTTGTAATAGTGCGCCGGAGGCAGCTCAGCAGAAGCGGCCGATCGTCGGTGGACGCGCTTGTGTTCAGTGCTGGAAATACCTCTCTTCATCAATGCCCTGCTCCTCGATCGACTCGATCACTGACCTTCTTTACACCTTGTCCATCTCGCTGCCGGAGGCGCTGCTGCAAGCTCCCTCCGTACGCGCTGTATACACTCAAGGTGGTCATCGGAAACATACTTTTGCGTCTTGGGCTTCCCTATTCATCACCTTTGTAGTAGGTCTAATTTTCATAAGTTTTCTAGCATGCAAATTTGTATTTTTTTAAATAATCATACGTTGAAGTTGTTGGTGGCCGTTGGGAAGTTGTTGGTGGCCGTTGGTTAGTAACATGACTATGTGGAAGTGCAAATAGCTTGTCTTAGAAATGTTTCTCGAGAAGATGACTTCCAGATGTTCATTTTCACGTCCTTTAGGGGCGTTTTAGTATATTTACATAACCCCTAAAGTCTTTTTCATACTTGTTTCTCTTTAACTTCCAGCCGTCGCTTTTCAATGCGATCTTTTAAATGGTCCAGTGTTTTGTTCACTCCGAGCTGGGTGAGCGCAATTTTTGTCAGGAGCGTGATAGGTAGGTGAAAAAAGCTGGTGAGAGGCGAAGTATTTGGTATTCTCGAATAGTGGTGCGTGATAGCCTAGCAATCATGGCGCTAAAAAGTTCCTCATCAAGTGGAACCAGTAAACATACCACTTGATTGTAACCTATGAGCGTCGCTGTTTCAGTGAAATCTAAATGAAAGGGTACCAGTGATGTGAGGTGTGGAATCGCATCCTCGCAGGTCGTTGACAAATTGGGAACCTCAGCCCGGCCCCGCCCCTTGAACTTTACCACGTGGTTGTCCTCTTTCTAGCTCATATTTCCTCGTTGCTTCTAATGTACCTATTCTCCCTTGTCGCTCTGCGTCTCTCCATCTCTACCTTCCTCGAGAGTTCCACCTGAAATAATGTCTACCATCATCCCTCGACCACCGACTGCGAAGGCTTTTCGGCTTACGCAATAGTTTGAGCAGGTGCGGAGAATCTCGAGATGTTTCTTACTGCCTATTGGACTTCGTGAGCTTTTTTTGAGGCGATTTTTTTTACTTCGAGAAGCATTGAAGCTTCTCCTTCGAATATTGTTGCACACGTTTTGTTATCTCTCTCGGAAATCTCTTACTTTATGTCACGTTGGTTTCACTCTCTGTTTATCAATGCTGTTCATATAGAGGTGTGCATTCTCACAATACTAACGGAGTTTTTTTTATTAACTGTTTGAAAGATGCTTAATAAGTGAGGCGAAAACATTGAAGAATGTTTTCGTTTAGTGATCCGGATGACAAACTTCTGAGAAGATACGGTGAGGTTCGAGGCACGACTTTTGCATGGCGTGTTCAGCTTGCAGGTACTATAGAAACGGATTCATTAGAGGTAGGTGTACGTTGCTGTTGCTGTGTGTGACGTTGTTTATCTTATTATTTCATTTCTTCACGTCTATTCATCTAATTCATGTTTACCAGTTAATTATGTTCAAATCGATGCATTGCCGTTTACGTTTGCTTTGCATGCAAAAGAAGGGGTTGAAAGTTTTGCTTCAACTCCTCTCAGTATGCAAAATTTTTGCTTAAGAAATTTCCATGCTTATTGGAATTCGGTTTTAGGCATTTGTGCTTGGAGATTGTCGTTTAATATTGCACTTTCTTGTGAAGAATCTCGTCGTTGTGGTGTTTTAGGAGTTTATTTTTTAGTTCTTCAAAGAAATTATTCATAGGTCTGTTCGGAAGGACGAGAGTTTGTTATGCGTAAGCAGGAAGGTGGTCAATGGGGCCGTTTAAGCAGCTCGACAACGTCGATTCGATCTGGTAATTACACCACGCCACGTAACTATGGCTCGAGGTGAGCGTTCGTGTAGATTTTCACACTTCAATTTTCCCTTTTTCTCTGACGCACCGCTTTATTTACAGTCTGAGCTCCTATCGATATTCGGCCTCTTCATACACACCATCGACACGTCCTACTACTACATCGTCGTCTGCGTCTGCTTCCGATGCCAACAGAGGTGCGTCCCGATGACTATTTCTTAATCTAATATTACAGTAATTTTGCAGCAACTGCAGACAGGCAGCTGCCCAGTGGAAATTACATGCCGCAGTCTCGATGATTAGTTAGTGCGCTGATTGAACAAAAAAGTGGATCTACGTTACATGCGACCCGGTCGTTGATCATTGATTGCTTTTAATGCACATACGGGGGTAGAGTCAAGACACTTAATGCAGCAGTTTTTAAGGGAAAGACACCGAGAGTTGAGAGTCGTCAAGTTATCACCTGGTTATCTTGTTGTAATGTGATTGGGTGAAGGCAAAGAAACGATTAATATGTGTAAAATACCCTTGAAGTTATTTTGTACAATACAAACCTGGTGCGTGGAACGCTGAATATGATGTGTGAGTTTTAGAGTATGTTTAGTATTCCAGGCTGAACGCTTAGGCGTCAACAAATTGCCGTCTTGGTTTTGGAAGCTTGCCCTGGATAATTGCTTTCGCAAATATATCCCTAAGTTGTTCAACAAACGACCGTATATTTGGGTTGTGGTAGGGAGAAGAGAGCTACCTATAAAGAGTAGTTATAGGTCGTTGTATTGAATGTTTGCGCGTATAAACGGATTGAAATCAAATCGGAGATTATGCGGAAAAGAAAAGTGATGCTGAAATGTACTGTGAGCCCACGACCTCTACAAAGGGCAACCTTCTCTTCTAGTATATCATTTTTTGAAGAGCGGAGAAACTTTGAACTGTATACGGTGTAGAGCAAAGTAGCTTAAATCGTATGTGTTGAGGTGGTGGGTGCAGATGTAAGGATAGCCTTTGGAATCCCTTCCATGAGAAAGGACTTCAAAATTTCCTACAAAATGAAATTTTGCATTGTTTTGTCGCTCAGTCTGGCAAGTAGGAGCTTCTTCATGATTATTCCATGGAATGGAGGTGCTCAGTATAATAAATGTTTTAATATTTACCTTATATCGAATTTTATATACTTTTATGTTCTTGTATGACAGCCTATGTAAACTTAGAAAGACTGTGTAACCCTGGAGTGAACCCCAAGTTTAGCTAACGTATCACATCTTTAAGGTAGCATGACGCTGACACGATCCAGCACAACTGCTGCTTCGAATGGGACTGCACTGACCAGATCGTCGTCAGTGTCACCTGGATACCAGCGATCGCCATATACCACGTAAGTGAAGTTCGGTAATAAATTTGCGTGTGGCTTTCTCCCCTTTGCTTTGTAGATAGGTTTTCTTAAGACCAGCAGCCTCCCGCAGCTCGGCGTTCTCTCCTTCCACCTTCGCATCTGGAACAGGTTCCGCAACACTTGGGGCTACGGCTGGTGAGTAGTAGCTCTAGTTAGATGCTTTATTTAGTTTTATTCTAGAGCGGCTTCTATAGATGGCTATGTTATAGTAAAGTCTCCAGGGGCTAAGCGCCCACCGCGATATGGTAACATTTGATTATATGACTAATTTTGCTCCTTTGTTCATAGTAGAGCTATCAGTCGTTACAATGTCACGAGTTTTCTTAGTACCATTTAGAATGGTAACAACAGAGATTAGTGTTTTTGATGTATGATTACAACTGTTTTCCAAGCATTATTTCTTCTTTTTAGGTGCACGATCTTATGGCTCATCCATGGGCCATAGCCCGTCCAGCTACACATTGTCTTCAGCTGCAGCCGCTCCTCCACCTGGTAATTTCGCTGGAGGTCAAGCTGCTCCGGCGAACGCTTCACCACCCAACGCCGTGCGCAGCAGGTCGTCATCAGCAATTGCAAGTTACCGGTATGTGACGTTCATTTGTAGCTATATTCTAATATTCTTATTTGTTCTTCATCGAAACGTCAAGTGTATAATTAATTAAAGAAATGCATTTATTTTTTCAAAAACATCCTCCTTTTTGGTTTTCCTCAGCTTTTTTGAAACTGCAGGAAAACATAGTCGCTTTAAACCGCTCACCATCCCACTATCTACCCGTCACCTCTAGATAATTTTGTAATTCATTCGCTATCAGGGTAATGTGGTTTGATAATCTCACGTAAGATTATTGTAGGCTAAGTGTTGAGTTGGGTTTAGGCGGTCAAAGAAACCTTTTTGTCCTACGCTGGGTCTGCTACCACAGAGGCATTTTTCCGGCCTTGTCGGCGGCTTCTTCTAGTTTATCCTGAGTGTTTCATTTCGTTGGAGTTATTTTAAGGCGAATTCCCCAATGATCCCACCCCACCTTCAAGCAAAGGCCCGATCATTCTCGCGATCATTCACGAGATAAATATCAGCCTTTCCGAAGCGCCTGACCCATAAGAAAGTTAACGCAATTATTCGCAACATCTTGTCGTTGTCCTTTTCGTCTCGGTCAGCTGCTTACATCGGTGTTTTGTTGTTCGAGCTGTGCCAGTGTGTTTGCAGAATGACATAACCGCAGTGTTTTAACTGGTACAACTGTTTGGGCAATAAACGGAGGCTGCACTTTTGATTGTATGAAATGACGTTAAACAGAAAACTCCATGGTGGTTTCCCGAGCCCTTAAAGATTGCGAAATTGGAGGTTTTGTTCTGTTTCGGTCATGCTACGGTTGAACACCGCTGCAACAACAGTTGTGCGCCGCTGTGACCACTCGATGCATTACAATGGACAACGGCTTTAGTGACAACAGTTGGCCGTGATTACTATCACGTTTAGATAATCGATAGTGAAGCCATGACTTCTGTTCATGAATGGGTTCTTAATTGGGAGGTGGCCGTTTAAAGGTAACCTATAAATGTGTCCTCTGTGGCAGTGCGTCGAATTTTTGAGCTTTCATGATTTAGTAGTCCAATTTACGGGCTAGTCTAGAGGATTAGTCTTTTTGGGCTGGTGGGTGAACTATAATACTCTTAGTGCATGTGAACCGTTCATTCTAGAGCTGTGGAGAGGCACTGTAGCTTTGTGATATTTTTCTCAGCTGGCGTTTTCCGGATGACGACTAGGTGTTTAGTGAAGTTAAAAGGAGCTTTACTGACATATTTTATCAACTTCTTATTTTACTTTATACCAAACTCCTTCGCATGGTCAATCTACTTTAAGTACGGGTTCTTAGATGGGACAGCGGTAATGTAAGTTGAACATGTATTGGCCCGTATTTACAAAACGGTTCTGATTCTAAAATAAAGCATACTTGTCCATTGTCCGTAACTCTTTTTGATACTATTGAACATTCTGCTGCTCTTGAATTTACCTAGATTATTGAGACTGAGTTTTCTATCTTGAGACTTTCTACCTCTCCAAATCTTGGACCTCTCGTAAGCTCCCTATTATCCTCTGGTTCTTGGTTAGTAATAGTTTGGATACATTTATGGTGGTGGCTTTTCAGTTGTACATTTGTGTTCATGTTTTTAATCTTTTACCAATTTTTTTTCCGGATTCATTTTCGTTGAAATGTTTTCTCACATAAAAACCGAGTGTTAGCAGCGCTATAACCAGACTAAAAAGGAGCATATAGCAAGTTCGTTCGATAGTACAAGGGATGTTACAAAAAATAGCAATACTATAATACGGTTACCCAGGGCGACCAAACCTCTCAACTATCAAGGCAGCTGTCATACTTGGCGGACATAGCGCGGTTCGCAGATCCTCAGTCTTTTATGCCTCAAAGGAGCCGGCGAGTGAGAATGCTAATCGAGGATCAGGACATCGGGCACTGATTTTTTATTATTTCACTGAGACTCACCTACCTTTTGGGGTGACACTAAGAATCGCTCGACTCGATGGCGAGTCGTTCGAGCGACTAGACAGGTAGCAAAGTCTCACCCTTGCCTAAGCCAAATAGAGGGGCACATTGAGATGGTTCAGCAATTTTGAGATGAAACCGAATGAGTACGCCATTTCCTGTTATCCGCTTCTCGGATTTTCTCGTATTTTTTTGACGAGATCATTGTCGTTCAAAAGCTCGCTGTCTTCCACATTTAATAACTTGAAACATAGATGTTAGTTGATAGATGTTTAGATGTTGCACTAGGAAACTTTTTTTGCTAGTAAAAGGGTTAGTTGCATTCGGTTTTGAACTCAACCTTTACTCATGCAAGATCGCTTACCTTCTTTTATTCCCGGATGAGCTTCTACGAGAAGGTGATATAATATGTATGTACAAAAAAGTTCAAAAGGTAGTGGGTTTTGAATGAGATTAAAATTATCGAAAATTAACAAAAATTTTAAGCAAGAATTCAGTTAAAAGCCGTGGAAAATTATTGTAATTCTAGTACATACAGAGCGGTCAAAAGTGTACATCGAAAGAGTTTTGTGCACTTCTTTTTTCTTTCGGGCGGCAGTGGTGTAATGTGGTAGCCGCGCGCGGCAGAGGATGAATCTGGGTGTGTGTCGTCGAGCACAACCATGCCTTCTAATCTTTTCTGAGGGTTGGTATTACTCATGGTTACCAGACCAGTTGGGTGAGGGAGCAGTAGAGAGCGCTAGGTTTGTGTATCGGTGACCCCACAATCATTGTTACAGGGCCAAATTTCGCCTTCATACGCTGCGCATGGTGACAAATGGAAGTAGGAATGCGCCGCAATCCCAAAATGGAATTAAGTCAACGGCAAAATGCTTTATGGTCTTTATTTTTACCTCCGAAAGCAAAGTGATGTCGTGTGATTTCTAGTCGCTTGAGGTAGTTTGATGATCAGGAAAGAATTTCAGACTATTTTTCCAACCGATTTTTTTTTCCTCGAAAACTAGGGGAGAGTCACAAGAAACTTACCAGCTATGAATAACAGTTTACTAACAATAATACAATATTTACTTTGAAATCTGTATTTTTCTTCAAAGCTTGGAGAGCCTTCGTGTAAAAGCCAATAATCATTTCCAGTTAATTCAATCTTTTGTTTACAGCAGCGTGAACGTGGCTCAATTGAATCAACAAGCACGTGAACGAGCCGAGAGAGATGAGAAATGCCGCGAATACAAGGAATGGGAAGAACGTGAACGCATGCGTGTGGAGATGAGGAGCCACCGGTGGTGGACTTCAGAATGAAATATAAGGGTGCGAAAGACATAAGACATTTACTACAACATAATTGTATTCACAAAATGTCATTTATACCCCGCGATTTTTCGAAAAAATCGCCAACATTGCCAACCTATCTGTATCCGTTGTTTTCGTAAGGTAGTACGCTTGTAGATTTTCCATGCAAAATCCGAATTTGCTTTCAATCGATCAAAATTGAACCCATGCTTTTGTGACAGTTAAACTTTCGTAATGCGAGAGTAGAATGAGCGTTCAATAAAACTTGAAAACACAAATCTTTGTTAGAAATATTCTTTATGTGTGTATTGTGTCCATAACACGTTTGCAGTGATGTGCTTTTACGTTCAGGTCGTGCGACGGACTCGGTTTCGCCCGGCTATGCTCAGTTCTCGAAAGCAGTGGCCACTCGATCAGAGCTGGCAGCAACAGCCAGTCTGACTAGATCTGAATACACGGCGAACAACAGTGGGATGAGAGGACCGCCACCGTTCGATTGAATAGAGATATTACAAGCATCGGCTAGGATACAAGCCTACTGCACGGTTACTTACTTTTTTTGTTATTTTTTATTTGTTTATCGAGCTCCTTGGGCAGCTTAGTAGATAATAGGTCTTCGCGGGTAAATGGTGCCTGGTGTATTCGCGAATGAATTGGGATGGTATTTCTACCCAGAATAAAATCTAACCATTCAGTTAACCCACCCAATTACCACTACACTACCAGTTTGTTCCAATCTTACCAGTCACTACAACATGTAATTGGCTAGTTGGCTGAGACCCGTGTTATTTCCAATCAATCAGATATTCGCGACTTCCCTATGAGAAGGACGCAAATTTTCTCTGTGATTTTTTTGAAGGACAATTTGAGATCTGTAAAGCGTTTTCTCCTTGGACTACAGGCCAATGCACTGTGTGCTTAATCTAGGAGCTCTTTCTAAAAGCTTCACAGGGGTGTGTATTTGAGCAATGGAGTGCGATACTTGGGGTGGTAGCCAGTCGTTTCTCGAATATCGTGCCCTTGCTTCAAATAAAGAGCTTTACCACGCGAGGATTTCAATATTTCACTACACAAAATCTGTGATTTTTAATTCAAGAAGAGCGGTTGTCGCTCAACTCTTGATATTAGCGCTTGCGCTTCCCTCAAGTTTTGAAGTGAGGGCTTTTTGAAAATTTATCTTCACTCGCCTGATGGATGCTATAGGAGTTACACAGTAGCAGCCAAAAATATTCACCAAGATCTTTTTTTCGCGCATTTTTTTCCTTCCTTGAACTACGACCGCGAACTACGACCGCTTCAAATTTTGATATGTTACGTTCTTCAGTTTTTCGAACCCTTAATTAATAGTGTTTCAAAACAGCAAAAATTGTGCTCAAAATTTTGGTACATCTTGAAAGGTTATGATGGAAAAGCTGTCTCGGTAAATACTTTTGACCTCACGTTAGATGCGAAAAAGAAGAAATTAGCTATACTAATCGTAAGGCGGGTAAATTAACTGCCTGTGGGTGGGTAGTACTTAATAATGGAAGGAAAATTCTACCTGCTAGCGTGAAGCCATCTAAGGCCGATGTCAGACTTTGCGAATCGCGCGATTCGCTAGCGTCTGCGGTCGCGTCGCGGCCAGTGAATCACTCAATTGGCTGGTACCGCAACGCGACCGCG